TTGGAGGGGGGAGAAGAAGGAAATTACAGGGGGGGAGAAGAAGGAAATTGGAGGGGAGAAGGAAATGAGAGAGAGAGGGAGAAGAAGGAAATTGGAGGGGGAGAAGAAGGAAGTTGGAGAGGGAGTGGGGAGAAGAAGGAAATTGGAGGGTGGGGGAGAAGAAGGAAATTGGAGGGGGGGAGAAGAAGGAAATTGGAGAGGGGGGAAAAGAAGGAGAGGGGGAGAAGAAGGAGAGGGGGGAGAATAAGGAAATTGGAGAAAGGGAGAGAAGAAGGAAATTGGAGGGAGGGAGGGGGAGAAGAAGGAAATTGGAGGGAGGAGAAGGAAATTGACGGGGGAAAGGGGAGAAGGAAATTGACGGGAGAGGGGGAGAGATTGACATCCATCACACACACACACAATGCACCCCTTGCACACAGAAAAACACAAAATGCATTACACACAGACACACATACCCAAGCAATGCATCCCTTACACACATCAGGACATCCCCCCCCACACACACTCCACCCCCTGTGAACAAACTCATTGGTGGAACATGAAGGTGGACCCTGGGACCCAGACCTTGAGCTGTGTAAAGTGCCCTCAAAAAAATGGAGCTGCTTCCCATTGATCCCAGAACATTGATTTTTGTGACCACAGTTACAAACAGCCTCCAGAGAGCCTGTTCTACACCAGACCAGTGGAGCCAGACTGCAGCTAGAGCCCATCATCATCCTCATCTGGTTGTAAGTAGGCTATCTAGTATACTATTCGTGGCACTAATCTCTAATTTACCTCACATTAAAGGGACACTATAGTCCCCAGAACCACTACAGCTTAATGTAGTGGTTCTGGTGTCTAGCCTGTCCCTGCAAGCCTTTTAATGTAAACACGGTGGCACTGCAGCACTGGTGTTAGTTAACATGGCAGATCATATGGTGGGGCATTGTGATGTCACATGGGGGGGGCGGCAAACTTTACTTTTGCCTAGGGCGGCAAAAATCCTTGCACCGGCCCTGCAGACACTGCATTCCTGTGGGCGGACTCGGGGGGGGGGGCAGCACTTTGGGCGGACTCGGGTGCAGGCACCGGGGGGCCCAGACCTTGAGCTGTGTCAGGGGCCCCAAAATTTCTGATGGCAGCCCTGTATATGTGTATATGTATATTGTGATCCTTGTTTGCAGGTAGCACGGTCCTCTAGGGCAAAAACATGCACAGTCCTTGTAGTTGCAAATACTCCAGGCACTTTATTTGTAAGTTCACACAGGATACAGCAGTTAAATGAAAACATAAATGTAACAGAAAACCCTATAAACAAAAAACCTAGCTCGTCTGAGCACTAACTGACATAAGTTTCCCTATCTCTCAGGGTTACACTAAACAATATTGCACCAACCTTTTAGATAGCAACACTCTGCTATCTAACCTGTTGCTTTCCTTTCTGCACTCCCAGTGCTCCAAGCCAGCTTTGCCCTGACTGCTTTCCTTTCTGCACTCCCAGTGCTCCAAGCCAGCCTTGCCCTGACTGCTTTCCTTTCCGCACTCCCAGTGCCTAGTCTCTTTGACTCTATCTGGAGAGATCAGCCTCTCTCCTACCTGCTTCCTGGGAGGAAGCCAGCAATCCCCCTCTACCTGTCTAGCAGGGAGGAGTTTATTCCCACTGCAACAGCTCATTAACTGCAGCTGTGCAGTGGGTTGGAGACAGTCCAAAAAACCCTGGCCTGGATCTATGTCTCCCCAGAAAACCACTAAACTGTGGAGTGGAGCATTGGCCCACCCTTCTCTCCAAATGCTCCACCCCAGGGGCCCATAACTAAACAATGCGTTGTGTTGTGCAAAACACAAACTACACATACTCCCCCTGGGGTTAAAAGGCCTATCTGCCTTCACTTTATCACAATATGTATATGTGTGTGTGTGTTTATATATATATATATAGTGAGATATATTGATTTTATTAGACGGCGTTCATTGTTTATATATAGTGATATATGGTGATTTTATTAGACAGAGTTTAAATCATGACAGGCGCACAGTCGGATTTGCCGGCATATGCGCTAACCTTACCCAAACCCCCACTAAAACACGGACACAGGTTATACTGTTGGAAATAATTAGTCCACAGCTTTATTAAATTATTAATAAAATAATTAAGGAATAACAAATGGGGTCATTGCCAACAAATCTTAATAATGTTAACCTCCCCCATATACATAACATACCCCTAGCAATGACCCCACAATAATAACAATAGATAACAATCTAAATAACATGTTAACACAGAAACTGGCCGCCCAATTTGACCACATTTCCACCAGGTTAAATTGTAGGGGTGTACCGAGACACCGCTACCCACCATATCGATTGTAGGGGTGTACCATACACCGTAGGGGTGTACCAAACACCGCTACCCACCATATCCATTGTAGGGGTGTACCAAGACACCGCTACCCACCAGTTCCAGTGTAGGGTGTACCAAGACACCACCACACCCCCAGGTTCACCGACGGGCTCGAACCTACCAACCACGTGCAACACTGCCCAATCCACACTAAACCTCAGGATGCCCACTTTCTCCTCCATCTACCCTCCGATTTAACCAGGCCATTCCCCGCCGCTGTGAAAAAACGGGAAATCAACTAACCTAACCAAATACAGGGAGGGTGGGAGGGACAACTGACAGGTAAGCTTAGGTTCAGTTAAAATGGCCACTTCATATAATGGCCGGTATAAATACTCCCCTTATGGCTCCGTCCTACCCAGCATGCTAGCTGTCACTAAATTCCTCTGGCTGCTATGCCTACCTCCTGGCTTTGTCAAGGCCTATTCCTCTTAGCTGCGCTGATCCATGGGCTACATTTTTCTGATTTTTTTTTTTCTAAATTATAACTGGTTAGCGTTGATATTGATAATATGCTGGTATACCTCCGCTAAACGTGGCCATAAAGTTAAAATGGTGGTAATCTGATAATTAAATAATAAAGTATCTGTAGAACAACATCAATTCTAAAATCCCCACATTCTATAAATCGCATGACTTTCTGCTTTTCACTATGTTTGAAATGCTTTGTTATATTTATTTAGCTGATGCTGTTTCTGCTAAACATTGACACATATTAAGTGAAGAGACAGGAATGTGTGACACACAGCAACAAATACTTTTATATCAGTGTGGAATTCAAGGTTTCAATCCCGGACCCTGATGTCTGCTTCAGAGATGGGAACGTTGAGCTGAGGGAAGCAACAACATACGCAATGGTCCCAAGTTAAAGAAAAATGCCTCTTATGGGCCTCAGATATTTTCCATCAAAGCAACGTTTGGACCTTTGCCGGTCAGGGCTCTCCAGGAATGAAGCACTGTCCGAATCCTGTGTCCCCAGGCCCGGGCAGAGGCTGCAGCTCGTGGTCTGTGCGTTGCTTGTTGAACTGTGCGAGAGGTTCACCTTTTTTGGGACAGTTTGCAATATGATCCTATTTTGCACGTTAAAGCTTGGCTACGACAACAATGAGGCGGCCATTGTAAACCTATGCTTTGTCGGGACGTGCACATTTACGCCTGTACTTTTAGGATGGGTGGCAGAATCCTGTGTTGGAAGGGTTAAAGTGAGTTACGTCTGCGCGTTGCTGCATTTTGTGGGTAAGCCACTTTTAAATGAATTATTGAGTTACAGCAAATGTTATTATAATTCCTTCAATTAATAGAACCACAAAATGTCAGATATAATCGAAATTCCGGTTATGGTCACGGTCTGTATATGTATATGTGTGTGTGTGTGTGTATTGATATCATTTCATTCTTAAATAAATACATTAATATCCTAGAAGCATTGCTCAGTAAATAATGAGAAGATAAAATTTGTGAGGAATAAAAAGTAATTTATAGTTAATTCACTCTTTATATACGTTTACAACTGAGATTTAATTCTTTCCACACTTGTAGAAAATAAAAGTGTAACATAGTACAGGCAATGCATTGCTAGCTTAGAAACCTAAAAAGGACAATGTATAAATTGTTCATTTATGTCTAAAACTTTAATATTATTTAAAAAAATTATGGAATTTCAATATATATTTATTCATTTTTTACAAAGTTTTGGACACAGGATAAAGTGTGAGAGATTAAATACTGCTTGCGTTGTGTAGATTCCCACCCAATACTCCAGCATATTCAAGCATTACAGGTTTGAGTTACTGCAGTTGTGTTCCAGTAAAGTTCCAGTAAAATGTGAATTACCATGTGTATAATCTCAGCTAATTCACAGAAAAAGAAATGGTTTGCATGTGAGATGTCTGGTAAAAACACATCGAAAGCACAATGCCACTTGCCAATCAATAGGTAGAACAATTAGACCCTTCAAAGTTAAAAAATCAATAACTCTCCACAACCTACAAAACACAATATAGTTCAGCTTTTAACAATTACTCCTCATAGACTGTAAGCTTGTTTGAACAGGGCCTCCTTCACCTCTTGTCTGTTATATTCCGTAAGTTAATTACCCGTTTTAAAATTGTAAAGCACTGCAAAATATGTGCTCCAACTGCCATCACACATCGAGTGGGAGCATGTCTTGTCCTTCTAACAGTTCCAAAATTGTCTTTCAAATGAAAACACATTGGTAAATAACCAATTGAGTCCTGATTTCTGGGGTTTCTTAGAGTACAATCCTTATTTTTCTTTAGCTGTCACAGATGAGTAAGTAGTAAATGAAGGCCACCTCTGCTAAGGCGAACTGCCGTGTACATCACACTACTTCAATATACTCATTACTTGTCAGATTTCAGAGTTAACAGGTTCTCATTCCTAAAACAATTCTTTCTCCTTCAAAGCGTATCTAATACCACCATTGCTATTAATTTAAATTTCTGTTTGACGAAGTAAAAAAGCTAGACAAAATAAAGAGAGATAAGAAGGAGAGATTGGATGAAGGGAGGTTGTGATGGATGGATGGAGAAGGAGAGATTAGATGGGTGGATGGATGGAGAGACTGGATGGGTGGATGGAGAGATTAAATGGATGGAGAGAGGTAGGGATTCGATGGATGGATGGATGAAGAGTTTGGAGATGGGGAGGGAGGAATGGAAAGATTGGACAAGAGATTAGATGGGTGGATAGAGAGATTGGATGGATGAAAGGAGGGATGGAGCGATTGGATGGATGTAGAGATTGGATGGATGGAGAGAGGGAGGATGGGATTGAGAAATTGATGGAAGGATGGATGAAGAGATGGGAGGGATGGATGGAAATATTGGATAAGGGATGAATGAAGAGATTGGATGGAAGGGAGGGATGGAAGGATGTTTGAAGAGATGGGAGGGAGAGATTGGATGGAGGGAGGGAGGGAGGTAGGCAGGGATGGAGAGATTGGATAGATGAATGAAGAGATAGGAGGGAGGGAGAAATGGGATTGAGAAATTGATGGAAGGATGAAGAGATGGGAGGGATGGATGGAAATATTGGATAAGGGATGAATGAAGAGATTGGATGGAAGGGAGGGATGGAAGGATGTATGAAGAGATGGGAGGGAGAGATTGGATGGAGGGAGGGAGGGAGGTAGGCAGGGATGGAGAGATTGGATAGATGAATGAAGAGATAGGAGGGAGGGAGAAATTGATGGAGTCCCTGTCCTTGAATTAAAAAGCTTTCTGTTTCATTCGCCTGTCTGTTCGGATAGTGGATGGGACAGCGGTCTCCACTAACCCCCATCCAGCGGAAGAGGTGGCACCAGGGCAAAGTGCAGCTGGCCTCTGCCTTACCTGTCCCCGTATTGTTGAGCCTGATGCCCAGCAGGCTTCCACAGCAAAAGCCATGCCTACAGGACAGAGCAGCGCTGACCTGATGACACACAGACCTACTGAGCTGGCCTCTGCCCACCAACCACCAAGTACCCACAACTCCATGCCTGGGAGCAAGGACACCCACTCAACAGATTGGAATAGACCAGATGGAGCCGAGCACCAGAGGTTACCAAGTCAGCTTCTTGTTTTTGGGCAGGCTTCTCGACTAACCCAGGCACAGACAAACAGAAGGTCCGGTACCTTGTTAGTCTTCCTTTGGGAGATATGGGGCAAACGTGCCTATGCCGCAAGCTCCTGGAGGAGCCTGCTAGCTAGCCTCCTGCCCAAGGACTATGGGCCAGGTCCAAAATAAAAAACCCTTCAGAAGTCAGCCAGACTACCCGGACATCCCCAAGTTGACCCAAAAAAGGTCAAGCCAGGTCTGCTGGAGTGTTCCACAAAAGGGGAGCAATGTGACAAAAGGAGAACAATGTCCCTGGATTAAAAAAGCTTTGTTTCATTTGCCTGTCTTTTTGGTGGATTGCATTCCCCTCCTATTCTAACATAGTCCCGTTCGACTACCGAACAACCGCACGAACCAGGGACCACACAGGAGCTTGTTAACACTTATTAACACCTTGGAACCTTTCTCACCGCAGTGTTCTAATTGTTCGTCTGGGTCGCCGCAATTCCTATGGACAACCACGAGCTGGCGGCCATCTTGTTCACATGAACGCAGGCAGCGCTGGACTTCCATCATCGCCTGCGTTCGGTCCTATACAGTTTAGAAGGGCACTGTTCGGTGAAATTGTTCATCTGGATGAAGGAAACAAGCTCCAGGGTAAGAAAATTTAATATGTTTGGTAGTTTGTTCGGTTTTCAAACTACCGAACTAGACCGACCACTAGCCCTAATTCTATGGAACTATTTTGGGCATGGGACCATGCGTACGGTCGTTCAAATTATGACTTCCAGGAAATTTCTGAACCCCTAAACTAATTTGGGTGATTTTTGGATATGTTGGTCACTCATATCAGGGCTATCAGGAGATGTAGCTTTTGTGGGGATTTTGTGTGTTTTAATGTGTTTTTTTTTTTTTTTAAATGTGTATTTTTGTGTCTGGAGATAATTGAGTTAATACAGTACTTTACTCAATTATCTCCCAGGCAGAGGGGAGGGATTGTATGAGTATGTATGGGAGTGTCATGTACTTGAACAACTTTGTCATTGGTCTGTAACTTTGTATTGTAGTCTTCCATCAGGTCCAGGCGGAAGTACCCCTTGCGTGGGGACTTGCATATAAGGCCAGTTGTGGCTATCACTTCACCCTCAACAATAGGAACAATAATTAACATAGTAACACTCCCACATACAGTCAGCTAACCCTCCCCTCTGCCTGTGATATAATTAAGATAGATAATGGAATAAGTTATTAATCCACAGGCAGTTAAAGCATAAATTTTTACAAACCCCAAAATACAACAAATCCCCATAAATGGATAGCCCTGATCTGGGTGAACAACAAATCCAAAAATCACCCAGATCAGAGCAGGGGTTCAAAAGTTCCATGGAAGTCACATTTGACCGACCGCACTCACATTTTCATGCCCAAAACAGTTCCAGAGAATTTGGCTGTGCGACCAGTCTATTTCCAATGTTAAATTCAGTTCAAATAGACGAACAGCAACCGTTCGTGCAACCGTCAATGTTAAAGTGCTGTTCGAATTGTTGAACAGTGTTCGACTCCAGTCGAAGCGTTGAAGTCTGGAGAAGGTAAAGTTCAGCGGTGTTTGTGCCGTCGCGTGTCTGATTTGAGTTCCATGAACTCGACAACCAAACACCGCTGAACGCGTTCGACTGAATTAAAATGGCCGCCGACACGTGTTCGTATGTTGAATGGCGTCTACTTCGGCTGTATCCGAAGTGCCATTACAAAAGTGCAGGTCCTTTCCCATAGGATTTAAAGGGGCAGAAACAGTGTATTAAAACCCCTTAAGCCCAAATAGGGTTTTTAGACGGCAATATACCCCAGGGGCCATAGTCACAGGGCAAAAGGCTGGCAAGCAGGTCTCTCCAAAAGCCAGTGGCAAATGGTAGTTCGTCACAGTGGTATTGATTAAAATCCCAGCAGGCAGAGATAATGTCTTAGAACTAAATAAATCACAGGGGTCATAGTTCCAAGATAAAAGACTGGCAATTAGTCCTTTCCATACACCGAATTACACCAAACAGGGGAAACACTTATAACCACTGCAAAAATGGAAAACACCACAACCACTGGGAAAACAGAGGGCTCCTGTTACACCACGTATTAAAGCAACCACTACACATTAAATATTCATCGACTACCATCTGATAGCAAATTGTCTCTGTGATATCCTAATCTCTATATCTCTCTTTGGCAGGTACTGCGCTTCTACCAGTGGTTGCTTTTCCATTTGAAGATTTTTATATCGACACAAACAATATTGTTCACACTTTGGGACAAAGGGAGCAAACATTACTTTTTTATTCTGGGTTAATTATGGCTTCCATTGGAATTGGAGGGATTCGAGCTGTCGTGTGCCCATTAAGTGCCTACAATTTGAATGGGTACAAAGAAAAGGAGCTGACATCTTTCTTCAACTGGTCAGTAGAGAGTTTGTCGCATACTGTGCCATGAGGAGGGTATTATACTGTGCCTTGAGGCTGTATTATTAAACTGCCACGAGACAGGTATTATACTCTGCCACAAGGCTGTATTATTATACTGTGCCACAAGGCTGGATTATTATACTGTGCTACGAGACCTGTATAAACACTCTGCCACGAGACAGGTATTATACTCTGCCACGAGGCTGTATTATTATACTGTGCCACAAGGCTGGATTATTATACTGTGCCACGAGGCTAGATTATTATAATGTGCCACGAGCCTGGATTATTATACTGTGCCACAAGGCTGGATTATTATACTGTGCCACAAGGCTGGATTATACTGTGCCATGAGGCTGGATTATTATACTGTGCCACAAGGCTGGATTATTATACTGTGCCACAAAACTGGATTATTATATAGTGCAAACAGGTTGGATTATTATACTGTGCCATGAGACTGAATTATTAAACAGTGCCACAAGGCTGTATTGTCATGTAGTGCCATGAGACTGGATTATTATATAGTGCCAACAGGTCGAATTATTATACTATGCCACGAGGCTGAATTCTATAGTGCCACAAGGCTGGATTGTTATATAGTGCCACGAGACTGAATTCGTATATAGTGCCATGTGGCAAACCCTGCCACTTGGACTAATTATTCTATGTGAATGGGTGAATTTCACCAAGAAAATAACTACACGAATTGACTTTCATGTTATTTTACTGTTTTTATGCGAATGCACGAAACTACCGAACGAGAGACCACCCGGGGTGGTCGTGTGTTTCCAATTAGCTGAGCGATACAATGTTGCAAAGGGAATTAAGTACCTGTATGTGTGTCCGCCATTTCGCCTACTGAACACGTGGCGGTGGCCATCTTACGCACGAACAGCGGTACTTGGTTGTCGAACGCCTGGAACTCAAACCGGGCATTCGACTAACCAAGCACCGCTAAGACCTTCAGCATGCTCCGACAGCACGAATCAAACACACGAACGCCCCGGCGTTCGGTAGATAGAATCCCCTAAACGAGAGGATTCATACGAATGCCAGCAATCGCATGGATGGCTAAGCTGTTCGGTATTTTTGATTCACTAAAATAGACTGACCGCAGGGCCAGAATTCATGGAACTGTTTTCGGCTACTAAGTCCCTGCGGTCGGTCAAATCTTTAACTGTCTGTAACTCCCGAACCCCTGGTCCGATCTGGGTGAATTTCAAGTATGTTGTTCACCCAGATCAGACCTACCAGGGTACCCCCTGTATTTAGGGGACATGCAGAAAGTGGGGAAAACTCTGTCCCCACTAATCTGTTTAAGTGCTAATCCAAGGGGAGGAGAGGGAGGGGAGGTGACCGTGTTACAATTGGCTACTGTAATAATTATGAAAGTTACCTCCCTTGCATGGGAGAAATGCATAAAAGCAGACTTGTGAATAAAGCTGACAGTTGACTCCCAGACTATGTGTCGTTTAGTCCTTGGGGAGGTGGATTATGCTGTGTTCCCGTGATTTTGTATGCTGAATCTTTGTTCCCAGCGGAGAGCTATTGGATTAACCCCTGCCCCTCTGCTACATGCCACAAGGCCGGATTATTATATTGTGCCAACAGGACGGATTTTTATACTGTGCCACGAGGTTGAATTATACAGTGCCACAAGGCTGGATTATTATACTGTACCATGAGGCTGAATTCTATAGTGCCACAAGACTGGATTATTATATAGTGCCATGAGACTGAATTATTATACAGTGCCACAAGGCTGGATTGTTATAGTGCCACAAAGCTGGATTATTATATAGTGCCACAAGGCCGGATTTTTATACTGTGCCACGAGGCTGAATTATACAGTGCCACAAAGCTGGATTATTATACTGTGCCACAAGGCTGGATTGTCATGTAGTGCCACAAAACCGGATTATTATATAGTGCCAACAGGACGGATTTTTATACTTTGCCACGAGGTTGAATTATACAGTGCCACAAGGCTGGATTATTATACTGTACCATGAGGCTGAATTCTATAGTGCCACAAGACTGGATTATTATATAGTGCCATGAGACTGAATTATTATACAGTGCCACAAGGCTGGATTGTTATAGTGCCACAAGGCTGGATTATTATATAGTGCCACAAGGCCGGATTTTTGTATACTGTGCCACGAGGCTGAATTATACAGTGCCACAAAGCTGGATTATTATACTGTGCTACAAGGCTGGATTGTCATGTAGTGCCACAAGACCGGATTATTATATAGTGCCAACAGGTCGGATTATTATTGTAGCGGAGATCCAGTATTCCACAAGTTGTCTCCGCTTAAGATCCCAGTGAGGCTCAGGAACAAGTAATTATAAATCCATAAAGCAAGGTTTCCAGCAGGTAAAACAATATAGCAATATCCCAACAGCAATCCCAATAACTGGACGACACACAGCATCAGGAGCAGAACTAAACCTTTATTTCCACAGTGGCCTTATAAAGCATGCTCCCATGCAAGGGAGGGATTTCCAATAATTAATACAGTATCCAATCCGGTACTAGTACCCTCCCCCACATCTCCTCCCCTCAGCCTGACTCATAATCCCCTTATACAGTACACAAATTCCCCAAGTTTCTGGATGTACCCCTAAACCGAGGGGTACCCCTTTAAATGGCACATCCCCTGATTTGGGTGAGCAACATATCCAAAAATCACCCAGATCGGTCCAGGGGTTCGGGAAATTTGTGGAGGTAATGAAAAGACCGACCGCGCTGGAGAGAACAGCTGAATTGGGTTCTATGCGATGGGGCCCTGCGGTCGGTCACAGTATAAGGGAACAAACTGCACAAAAGGCTAAGGTTACAGAGATCAGGTAGGGTTCGCATCGGTTGTTTCTTTCTACTGAACGAGGGGCCATTCGGTAGTTTGGAAGCAAACGTATCTTGCGTATGGAGGTCTCAGCGGTGTTTGCCTAGCCGAGTGTCCGATTTGGGTTCCAGACACTCGACGGCAAAACACAGCTGTTCGGGAGTTTTAAAATGGCCACCGCCACGTGTTTGTTTCCCGAATGGCGGCTACCCTGAGAACAAAGGACCCACCGCACAGCTTGTCAATTACCAGTTCGCAACATTGTTGCAACTGGTAATTGAAGGCACACTTCACACTGGGGAGGTCTGACTGTTCGGTAGTTTCATTCCCCTAGTTGCTAGAATGATTCTACCGAACAATCCGACAAATACAACCTATATTTATACACATAACACTGCAATTTAAGCGAATACATTAATACATATGAAATTTCCAGGACAGCCCAGTGCCATTCGCTACAATTATACTGTGCCATGAGACTGAATTATTATACAGTGCCACAAGGCTGGATTATTATACAGTGCCACAAGGCTGGATTATTATATAGGGCCATGAGGCCGGATTATTATACTGTGCCACGAGGCTGAATTATACAGTGCCACAAGGCTGGATTGTTATATAGTGCCACAAGGCTGAATTATTATAATGTGCCACGAGGCTGAATTATACAGTCACGCAAGGCTGGATTATTATATAGTGCCACGAGGCCGGATTATAATACTGTGCCATGAGACTGAATTATTATACAGTGCCACAAGGCTGGATTGTTATATAGTGCCACAAGGGTTGATTATAGTATAGTGCCAACAGGCCGGATACTGTGCCACGAGGCTGGATTATATAGTGCCACGAGGCTGGATTATTATATAGTGTCACAAGGCCAGATTTTTATACTGTGCCACGAGGCTTAATTATATAGTGCCACGAGGCCGGATTATAATACTGTGCCATGAGACTGAATTATTATACAGTGCCACAAGGCTGGATTGTTATATAGTGCCACAAGGGTTGATTATAGTATAGTGCCAACAGGCCGGATACTGTGCCACGAGGCTGGATTATATAGTGCCACGAGGCTGGATTATTATATAGTGTCACAAGGCCAGATTTTTATACTGTGCCACGAGGCTTAATTATATAGTGCCACGAGGCCGGATTATAATACTGTGCCATGAGACTGAATTATTATACAGTGCCACAAGGCTGGATTGTTATATAGTGCCACAAGGGTTGATTATAGTATAGTGCCAACAGGCCGGATACTGTGCCACGAGGCTGGATTATTATATAGTGCCACAAGGCCAGATTTTTATACTGTGCCACGAGGCTTAATTATACAGTGCCACAAGGCTGGATTATTACATAGGGCCATAAAGCCGGATTATTATACAGTGCCACGAGGCTGAATTATACAGTGCCACAAGGCTGGATTGCTATATAGTGCCACAAGGCTGGGTTGTTATATAATGCCACAAGGCCGGATACTGTGCCACGAGGCTGAATTATACAGTGCTACAAGGCTGGATTATTATACTGTGCCATGAGACTGAATTATTATACAGTGCCACAAGGCTGGATTGTCATGTAGTACCACAATGCTGGATTGTTATATAGTGCCAACAGGTCGGATTATTATAATGTGCCACGAGGCTGAATTATACAGTGCCACAAGGCTGGATTGTTATATAGTGCCACCAGGCTGGATTCTTATATAGTGCCACAAGGGTTGATTATAGTATAGTGCCAACAGGCCGGATACTGTGCCACGAGGCTGGATTATATAGTGCCACGAGGCTGGATTATTATATAGTGCCACAAGGCCAGATTTTTATACTGTGCCACGAGGCTTAATTATACAGTGCCACAAGGCTGGATTATTATATAGGGCCATAAAGCCGGATTATTATACAGTGCCACGAGGATGAATTATACAGTGCCACAAGGCTGGATTGCTATATAGTGCCACAAGGCTGGGTTGTTATATAATGCCACAAGGCCGGATACTGTGCCACGAGGCTGAATTATACAGTGCTACAAGGCTGGATTGTTATACTGTGCCATGAGACTGAATTATTATACAGTGCCACAAGGCTGGATTGTCATGTAGTACCACAATGCTGGATTGTTATATAGTGCCAACAGGCCGGATTATTATAATGTGCCACGAGGCTGAATTATACAGTGCCACAAGGCTGGATTGTTATATAGTGCCACCAGGCTGGATTCTTATATAGTGCCACAAGGCCGGATTTTTATACTGTGCCATGAGGCTGAATTATACTGTGCCACAAGGCTGGATTATTATACTGTGCCACAAGGCTGGATTGCTATATAGTGCCACAAGGCTGGATTGTTATATAATGCCAACAGGCCGGATACTGTGCCACGAGGCTGGATTATTATATAGTGCCACAAGGCCGGATTGTTATATAGTGCCACAAGGCCGGATTGTTATATAGTGCCACAAGGCTGGATTTTTATACTGTGCCACGAGGCTGAATTATACAGTGCACAAGGCTGGATTTTTATACTGTGCCACGAGGCTGAATTATACAGTGCCACAAAACTGGATTATTATACAGTGCCACAAGGCTGGATTATTATACAGTGCCACAAGTCTGGATTATTATAGTGCCACAAGGCCGGATTATTATATAGTGCCACAAGGCCGGATTATTATATAGGGCCACAAGGCCGGATTATTATATAGTGCCACAAGGCCGGATTATTATATAAGGCCACAAGGCCGGATTATTATATAGTGCCACAAAGCCGGATTATTATACTGTGCCACGAGGCCGAATTATTATACTGTGCCATGAGACTGAATTATTATACAGTGCCACAAGGCTGAATTATTATACTGTGCCACAAGGCTGGATTGCTATATAGTGCCACAAGGCTGGATTGTTATATAATGCCAACAGGCCGGATACTGTGCCACGAGGCTGGATTATTATATAGTGCCACAAGGCCGGATTGTTATACTGTGCCACGAGGCTGAATTATACAGTGCCACAAGGCTGGATTATTATACTGTGCCACAAGGCTGGATTATTATACAGTGCCACAAGGCTGGATTATTATACTGTGCCACAAGGCTGGATTATTATACAGTGCCACAAGGCTGGATTATTATAGTGCCACAAGGCCGGATTATTATATAGTGCCACGAGGCCGAATTATTATACTGTGCCATGAGACTGGATTATTATAATGTGCCACGAGCCTGGATTGTTATATAGTGCCACAAATCTGCTATAGTACTTTGCCAATGTTCCTGCTTAATACTTTTATGTGTTTTTTTTTCCAGGTTTTATTGGTTGGTTAACCTAAATTCACTGGTTGTGTTTTCCGGCATCTCGTATATTCAGCAATCAGCAGCTAAAAACCTGGGGTTCCTTATCCCCTTCATGTCAGTCGTAATGGCTCTCATAACCATCCACATGATCCGAAACGATCTCCTAGATCGACATAAGAAAGGTAAGAGAAATCCTAAATCTTTTTTCACCAAACGAGGAAATGTGAACCATATTAGACAAATAGGCTTTCCCTGTCTGAAATACTGTGTGACAGGGGGATCCCAACGGATGTCCACATCCGGAGCCTTTCTGTAGGGGGGCTCCCTCCTCCTCATCCTCCTCATTCTTATTTAACAGTGACTGGTTTTCTCGTGCTCGGTTTAGGCACGAGTTCCACCCCATCCTGCGTTGTTTCAAACTGGGGAAGCCTGCTTACAAAGGAGACCTGGGAGCTAAATAAGATGACTCTGGTGGTTGTAAACACGATGTGCCCTTGGAAAGGCCTTTATAGGAATCGACGAGCAGCCAAGCTCCTGCTGTAAGGTTTTGAGTGGGGATTCTGGTTCCCCTTTGCGGTTTGCCTACCTTAATTTCTAGTTTGGAACCTGCAGTCTCCAAGTTGCCATGGGCAGCCTCTGGTTCGCATGGCTGGTCCGTTTTATAACACACTCTCTGTCCAACTTGCGCGTTTCACCTTTGAGCGTAGTGCCCAAAAAGAGGCAAGAAAATTCCACCTGATTCATCACTTGTCGTACCCTCACAGATATTTGGCAAATGACGACATTTCACTGCGGTCCGCATGGTCCGCGAGCCCTGCTTCTATCTATGGATTTATATAGTGTATAAACAGTGCGAGCCCTGCTTCTATCTATGGATTTATATAGTGTATAAACAGAGCGAGCCCTGCTTCTATCTATGGATTTATATAGTGTATAAACAGAGGAAGCCCTGCTTCTATCTATCTATGGATTTATATAGTGTATAAACAGAGTGAGCCCTGCTTCTATCTATGGATTTATATAGTGTATAAACAGAGGAAGCCCTGCTTCTATCTATCTATGGATTTATATAGTGTATAAACAGAGGGAGCCCTGCTTCTATCTATGGATTTATATAGTGTATAAACAGAGCGAGCCCTGCTTCTATCTATGGATTTATATAGTGTATAAACAGAGGAAGCCCTGCTTCTATCTATCTATGGATTTATATAGTGTATAAACAGAGTGAGCCCTACTTCTATCTATGGATTTATATTGTGTATAAACAGAGCGAGACCTGCTTCTATCTATCTATGGATTTATATAGTGTATAAACAGAGGGAGCCCTGCTTCTATCTATGGATTTATATAGTGTATAAACAGAGGAAGCCCTGCTTCTATCTATGGATTTATATAGTGTATAAACAGAGGAAGCCCTGCTTCTATCTATCTATGGATTTATATAGTGTATAAACAGAGCGAGCCCTGCTTCTATCTATGGATTTATATAGTGTATAAACAGAGGAAGCCCTGCTTCTATCTATCTATGGATTTATATAGTGTATAAACAGAGTGAGCCCTACTTCTATCTATGGATTTATATTGTGTATAAACAGAGCGAGACCTGCTTCTATCTATCTATGGATTTATATAGTGTATAAACAGAGGGAGCCCTGCTTCTATCTATGGATTTATATAGTGTATAAACAGTGTGAGCCCTGCTTCTATCTATGGATTTATATAGTGTATAAACAGAGGGAGCCCTGCTTCTATCTATGGATTTATATTGTGTATAAACAGAGGAGCCCCTGCTTCTATCTATTCATTTATGGATTTATATAGTGTATAAACAGAGCGAGCCCTGCTTCTATCTATGGATTTATATTGTGTATAAACAGAGCGAGCCCTGCTTCTATCTATGGATTTATATTGTGTATAAACAGAGCGAGCCCTGCTTCTATCTATCTATGGATTTATATAGTGTATAAACAGAGCGAGCCCTGCTTCTATCTATCTATGGATTTATATAGTGTATAAACAGAGCTAGCCCTGCTTCTATCTATCTATGGATTTATATAGTGTATAAACAGAGCGAGCCCTGCTTCTATCTATCTATGGATTTATATAGTGTATAAACAGAGCGAGCCCTGCTTCTATCTATCTATGGATTTATATAGTGTATAAACAGAGCGAGCCCTGCTTCTATCTATCTATGGATTTATATAGTGTATAAACAGAGCGAGCCCTGCTTCTATCTATCTATGGATTTATATAGTGTATAAACAAAGCGAGCCCTGCTTCTATCTATCTATGGATTTATATAGTGTATAAACAGAGCGAGCCCTGCTTCTATCTATCTATGGATTTATATAGTGTGTAAACAGAGCGAGCCCTGCTTCTATCTATCTATGGATTTATATAGTGTGTAAACAGAGCGAGCCCTGCTTCTATCTATCTATGGATTTATATAGTGTATAAACAGAGCGAGCCCTGCTTCTATCTATCTATGGATTTATATAGTGTATAAACAGAGCGAGCCCTGCTTCTATCTATCTATGGATTTATATAGTGTATAAACAGAGCGAGTCCTGCTTCTATCTATCTATGGATTTATACAGTGTATAAACAGAGCGAGCCCTGCTTCTATCTATCTATGGATTTATACAGTGTATAAACAGAGCGAGCCCTGCTTCTATCTATCTATGGATTTATATAGTGTATAAAAAGTGCGAGCCCTGCTTCTATCTATCTATGGATTTATATAGTGTATAAACAGAGCGAGCCCTGCTTCTATCTATGGATTTATATAGTGTATAAACTGAGCGAGCCCTGCTTCTATCTATCTATGGATTTATATAGTGTATAAACAGAGCGAGCCCTGCTTCTATCTATCTATGGATTTATATAGTGTATAAACAGAGCAAGCCCTGCTTCTATCTATCTATGGATTTATATAGTGTATAAACAGAGCGAGCCCTGTTTCTATCTATCTATGGATTTATATAGTGTATACACAGAGCGAGCCCTGCTTCTATCTATCTATGGATTTATATAGTGTATAAACAGAGGGAGCCCTGCTTCTATCTATCTATGGATTTATATAGTGTATAAACAGAGCGAGCCCTGCTTCCATCTATCTATGGATTTATATAGTGTATAAACAGAGCGAGCCCTGCTTCTATCTATCTATGGATTTATATAGTGTATAAACAGAGCGAGCCCCGCTTCTATCTATCTATGGATTTATATAGTGTATAAACAGAGCGAGCCCTGCTTCTATCCATCTATGGATTTATATAATGTATAAACAGAGCGAGCCCTGCTTCTATCTATGGATTTATATAGTGTATAAACAGAGCGAGCCCTGCTTCTATCTATCTATGGATTTATATAGTGTATAAACAGAGCGAGCCCCTGCTTCTTTCTATGGATTTATATAGTGTATAAACAGAGCGAGTCCTGCTTCTATCTATGGATTTATATAGTGTATAAACAGAGCGAGCCCTGCTTCTATCTATCTATGGATTTATATAGTGTATAAACAGAGCGAGCCCTGCTTCTATCTATCTATGGATTTATATAGTGTATAAACAGAGCGATCCCTGCTTCTATCTATCTATGGATTTATATAGTGTATAAACAGAGCGATCCCTGCTTCTATCTATCTATGGATTTATATAGTGTATAAACAGAGCGAGCCCTGCTTCTATCTATGGATTTATATAGTGTATAAACAGAGCGAGCCCTGCTTCTATCTATCTATGGATTTATATAGTGTATAAACAAAGCGAGCCCTGCTTCTATCTATCTATGGATTTATATAGTGTATAAACAGAGCGAGCCCTGCTTCTATCTTTTCAAATAATTTTTATTCAAGTTTTTTTTGTATAACAAATGATAATAATACAAACATTGTATTAGGGGTAGGAAAGGAGGGGTAACATGGAAATGGGAAGGGGTATCCATCCATCAATGAAATAAACATATTAAAGTATATGGCAAAAAGAAAAATGTTTTACAACAATGCACTTTAACAATAAATATATCAAAGACCATAAATTGTTTTGATTTTTTCTTCCCATTTATCCCAGTTGTATTTTAGTATTGGGAAACCATGCATATTGGCTCTGTGTGATAGTTCATGTGCCTTATTTTCTAAAATCAAATTAAAAACTTCTCTGAGAGATGGCACATTTTGAGACTTCCAATGTCTAGGTAAACAGGATGTAGCAGCGATCAGAATGTGGCCTATGATTATTTTATCTGATCTATTAACAGACTCCGGGAGTAAATAAGGCTAGTTCCGAGGTTAAGATACTAATGGTTCCGTTCACTTTAATAATCAGATTGTGGATCATTTTCCAATAATTAATTAACTTGGGGCAGAACCACCAGATATGGGCCATATTGCCCAATCCCCCACAGTCTCTCCAACACCGGTCCGAATACATATTGTTCATGTTATGTAATCTAGACGGGGCCAGGTACCAGCGATATAAGATTTTATAATGATTTTCAAAATGGTCGGTGCAATACGAAATACCTTTTAAACCTGTAAAGAAACCGAACCATTCTTCTAAATCGTACTGGGCACCCAACTCCGTCTCCCATGACAGCATATGTTTTAATTTAATTAAGGGCTTGGCATTATGAGATAAGTAACATAAGGATATCATACCTTTACTAGCGGGGCTGTATAAAATAACTTTCTCTAAAGGAGATATCTCAAGTGATTTATAATTTTTATCGGTTTCAGGTACCTGGTATAGTTCTTTCAATTTATCAATGATTATCATACATTCCAGTTCACATGCATTCGACAATCCATACTTAAGCTTCAATTTTTCCAAAGAAAGAATAGCATTGCCATAAAAAAAATTGTCCAGATTAGTTATAGAGCAATCCTTCAATAATTCTATTTTTAAGGATGGTAGTCCTGCTTCTATCTATCTATGGATTTATATAGTGTATAAACAGAGCGAGCACTGCTTTTATCTATGGATTTATATAGTGTATAAACAGAGCGAGCCCTGCTTCTATCTATCTATGGATTTATATAGTGCATAAACAGAGCGAGCCCTGCTTCTATCTATCTATGGATTTATATAGTGCATAAACAGAGCGAGCTCTGCTTCTATCTATCTATGGATTTATATAGTGTATAAACAGAGCGAGCCCTGCTTCTATCTATCTATGGATTTATATAGTGTATAAACAGAGCGAGCCCTGCTTCTATCTATCTATGGATTTATATAGTGTATAAACAGAGCGGGCCCTGCTTCTATCTATCTATGGATTTATATAGTGTATAAACAGAGCGAGCCCTGCTTCTATCTA